AAAAAGAATCTCATCTCTTTAGGCACCCTAGAGGCCCTTGGGTGTAAATACACAGCTGAAGGTGGAGTTATGAAAGTTTCTAGAAGTGCTCTTATTGTTATGAAAGCTTGTAGGTCTGGTAGCTTGTATATTCTGCAGGGAACTACTGTCACAGGTTCAGTTGCAGTCTCGTCATTATCATTGTCTGATTCTGACATTACCAAATTATGGCATATGCGTTTGGGTCATATGAGAGATATTCGACCACCACAAAGGTATGCAAATTTGGTTGCATATGCTTTGTCTGTTGCAGAAGGAACAAGTGAAGTTGGTGAGCCTACTACCTATTCAGATGCAGTTTCTTTTGATAATTCCGCTAAGTGGTTGATTGCTGAGGGAAATGTCCTTGTTCAGAAAATTCATATGAAGGATAATCCAACTGATAAGTTTGCGAAGCCTCTTCCGGTTTACAAGTTCAAGCAGTGCTTGGACTTGGTTGGTGTTCATTGTTAGTGATTGCCCGTTGGGGCTTTTGTGAAGAAGGTGGAGCAAGTTTTGTTGGGACATGCCAAGGTGGAGATTTGTTAGTTTGGCAAGTCCCATAGTCCCACATCGGGAAAATCAGACTTGTTGTCTCGTCTTGGAACTATAAATAAGAGCCTGAGCTTTGATGTTAGACACACCACGAGAAGTACCACAGACACCACAAGAAGTACAGCAGGCATCATAAGAAAACCTGCTTATGGTTTGAAGTCTTCTTGTTTAGGAAGCTGAAGTTGTTTTATGGCCTAGGAACATTTCCTAAGGCATTTGTAAGTGTCCCTCTTTTATAATAGTAATTTGCTCCTCTTTCTTCCGTGGATGTAGGTCAAAGTCAATTGACCGAACCACGTATATCTGGTGTTCTGGTGTTCTGTTGTTCTTGTCACTTTATTCTTTCCGCTTTATTGTCTTTGTTGTGTTGCCAAAATTATCCTTTGGTAAATATCCTGGGGCTAGCTCTAACATTTATTTATGTTGGTTCCCTTAGCCTATGAATGCGACTGATTGCTACCAGAGGTCGCCTTTGTGATAACTGCCTCCGATCACTACTGCTTTCGTCTTTGCTACACCATTCTCGATCCAAGATGACACCTCGAGAGATAAAAAGGGTTTTAGGACAATGACAAAAGATTTGGTGTGAAATAAGAATCAAAAGAGAAGATGGTCAAGTTTTGTGTGGTCATCACCTTGAAAGACAAGTCAGTGTATAGTTGACACTGTTCTCCTTTAGGAACCTGCTTCTGATCGCAACACTCTCATCCAAGAACTGACCGTCCTTTCTCCTTTAAAAGCAGAACAAAAGGAAAAAGAATGTAGACTCAAAGATATCTTCTTCTTGATGACTACGACCAATCCAAATCGAGGCCGACATGTATAATCGGAGACTTCTTTGAAGGAAGTAAGTATACATATGGGATAGCTGTCATAATATTGTCCTTAAATATACGTATGAGGTGCCCAAAAGAATTGAGAAGTTTATTTTCCATTTAATAAGGTAATATTTATTTATATAAATTTTAAGAAAAGATTTCTATTAATCATATACTTCAATTATGTAATTATTTAAATTTGTGATCGATCCTTAAATCATAAATTAATCGAGGATGTAAATATTGTAAAGTTGTCCTTCAGCCTCTATCAATCTTCTATCGTACCTCCGTAACATTAAGTTTCCATCAAAGATATCAATATTGAATTGATGCAATTGAAATATCCTATGAGCAAAAAGTTTTTTTAAAGAATCTGCTAGTTAGTTAGTGTTGAGTATTATATTTTGACGATGAAACCAATTAATAAGTGTTTATGATTTAATCTGCGTTTTGAGTGACGCAGGATGTTTCGATCAAGGAGAGACAATTAAAGTAGGAAAAATCATATTGGGCCGGAGGAAAACATGTCAGAAGATTGGATATTGGGCCGGAGGATCGGTCGACGTATCGACAAAAGGCTTTGAGCCATGGATTTGGGCATCGGGCCAAGAAGAGCGGATATTGCGCCAAGGATATCGGAGTTGCGGAGTCGATTAGCCGATTGGGCAATAGGCCACAAGAAAGGACGATGCGTCGAAGAATCAGACGAAGCGTCGATGGACCAATGACATACTGGACAACATGATTCAAGCTTAGTAATAATTGTTTAGATCGAAATGTGTTTTTACATGTGCATGATTAACTACGATAGCAAGGTATAAAGGAAAATGAAATCCCGGAGTAAAAAATGTGATTTCGTTAGGAGTTCGAGAGTTCGTCGG